GAGAGAGGCCTGGTTGGTCCAGAAAGAAATCGAACTAGCACCGTGCTCGTGATGGCAGACATCATTACCACTATGCTATCCTCTCCAAGGATGACACGCAAATATGTATTTGTACATGTTTATGTATATGCTTTCACGGTGGTCCCTCATATGAGGGATCTCGAGCCGGTTAGTCGCGAAGCTACGTGCCGCGTACCCAGGTGCCGGAAGGGGTTAATCGCGAACCGAAAGCGACCGTATGTTTCCCTGAGAAGCAGGTGGATCCAGAGGTTGTCACATACTTTCTGTATTTACGAGGCGTATTCATGCATGCGTATGTGGGTGCCTCCTCGCTTATGCGGATTGTATTCTGCGAGTCAATTAGGCCAAAGGTCTGCAAGTGACAGGGAAGTATGTGGGAGGCGGTTAGGAGTCGCCTCCAACAAATAAGCTCCATGCCCACTTTGAGAGAGCCTGGCAAGCAATCCGTGAGGATACCCAGCCCCCACGTTCAGAGCCCAACAAGCTATATACGTAGATACTAAAATGCTAAACACGGTAAAAAAAAAACGGGCCTCATTCCCTTGACCCTGAAAGAGCTCCAATTTCGCAGCGTTGGGTAGTACGGAGAGGACGAGTACGGAGAGGCCGCTAAAATCTCAGGGTAATGGAAGCTACCCGAATTTCAAAGAACTATGGTGACGATCTGTACCTACAATGCACGTACACTTTCATCCTAGTCGTCGATAGAAGACCTGCTCATGCAAGCAAGAAGGATAAGGTGCGACGTTATTGGTCTGGCCGAGACGAGAAGACGCCAGCCTTTCAACGCCGTCTATGAAGAACTATTCCTCGGAACATGCGACAGTAGAGGAGTTGGCGGCATCGGCGTTCTTGTCAACACGAGTTTGTCCATGAACATTGGTTCATTCGAACAGCTTACAACCCGATTTGAACGTTTGCGATTGAAAAGATGTGGATCAATTCCGGGTTTGACAGTCTTCGTCGTTTATGCGCCAACATCAAACTGTGACGAAGAAGTCGAAGCGTTCTATATGGACTTGGAGAAGTTCTATAGAGAAGACCATACATGCTTCAAGGTCATCATCGGAGATTTCAACGCCAAGATTGGAACAAGAAGAACGTTTGAAGAACGCCACATTGGGGCCCATGAATTAGGATGGAACGAATAGGGTGAGCGGCTATTTGAGCTTATCACGGCGAGCGAGACCATCCATGGTAACTCTCAAACTAACATCAAACTATGACAAAGAAGAAGTCGAAGCGTTCTTTTGACGCTTTTGTGACCGCGAAGCATCAAAAAGGCTCCCACAACTATCTCCTTCTTTCGCGCTAAGGTTTTCCATATTATTCTTATCTAAACATACCTCATGTGCAATGACGGCAAACTAAAAATAAACAAGGAATTTAAAAAAATAGCACGGGCAGTCGCGGCCCTTGTGGATCAGATGTAGATTTGCCACCATGCGGCTTTGATAACAAGACGGTGTTGGGTCACGGTATTGGTTTACTCTTAGCTAGGCTTACTAATGGAAACGCCGAGCTCTTCTCAGTTTGGGAGACTGTGCCGGAGGAACGAATCCCCCCGCTGTACATCGCAGTCCGACACCCAAGAACACCTCCTAGCCAAGATGATGCGGTAAACCGTTGGGAGGTGGAAGACAATAACAGATAATAAGTAAAAAGTTAACATTATAATTTTCTTGTTGCTAAACTCAATATTCGGGATAGGCTAATGAAAGGGAAAAGAAAATATTATTATCTCCCCACAGTTCAAGCAATCGGTGAACACCCGCTGGACTGGTTTTTGGTTCACGGTTCGTTCAAATCCACTTCGCAGCGCTCTAATATAATTCTGATTCGCACAGTTTGTTGCCTAGATATCACCAACAATAATGACCTTGCTTTACCTACGCATTTTAATGTTACTTCATAACATAACATCCTTCGGGGAACAAATCAACTTGATGTTTGGTGTAATAGCCATTGCTAAAAGTTTCGAGAGCAATGAGAGTGGTATGTACGGTTTTCGACACATTCCGTCTTTAGCATATATTAAGAGGACTTATTTAATCCACTAGAAAAATGTTAGGGTGGAAAGATTTTTGCGTTTCTTACTGGATGACATCTTCCAGAAAAGATAGAGCTGTTTTCGCTGCCTCTCCTTTCATCCCTAGCTTCCTATTCAGGATATTGATTACATTCACGTGGTGCCCTAGATAGATAGCAGTATCATCTGCTTGCGCTTTTTCGCTTAGCATCTATTCTGTTATTGTTGGCGTCGACCCATGGCTCATTGAACATTGTTTTCGAAAGAAAACGTTCTTCATTAGTTCAGTGTTGATCAATCGCAGACATATAATTTCCTTCCTTCATTAAACACTTAAACCTTCATCTCTTGCTTAGAGGTGTTCTCGAAGAATGAATGAAGTGCTGGATTCAGTTCACACAGATGTTTTGTTCTATCATGCAAGCAACTGCTGTGTTCACTTCAGCGGCCGTGAACACTGATAAGACTCTTCAGGCTTAATCCTCTGCTTCGAAATTTCAGTGCAAGAATTGTAGTCGAATTGCTTCGATGGTGTTTGATTTCCAGATAGTGCACTTGTCTGGTGAAGTATATTTTTAGGAGGTGATACCCTACACCTGAGAAAGGTTTGCTGTCTGGATCTCTCCAGTTGGTATAAATCCGCTCCTTGAAGTCATTATTGGTGGAAAATCAGTGCAGCACTCTAGGAAATTCTTTCTTCCGTATTTTGAAGAATCTTACTGCGACAGTTCCCAGGACCAACTTTCTATTAAACTCGGCATTCGATTATTAGTGGCACCGCTTTCTTGTTCAGCAATCGCTATGTTGTTATATGGCATACGTCCACTTTCATGAAAAGCACACAATACGGCAATAGCTAACGTTTCGGCAGTATTGCCTTCTTCAGAGCCGCTTTTAGCGTGGCTTCCATTGAGGAAGATTAAAACATCTTATTATAGTCGCATATAGTTGATAGCCTCATGATGACGTACTTACTGAGACACTTAGATAGCTCATCTTCACATGTTGTGGGAGTCCCCGCATATTTCCCACTTCCCATCTATGGAAGTTCTTAAGTTCAGGTTTCGATTCGGCTGGAATCGGAGAATTTTTGAACTTTCCCTCTCGCCGATATAAAGTGAGGTAGCCGAAAGCGATTATCAATAAAATCCCAAGATGGACATGCTAGACCGGTGTACACTGCAGGTTGTCGGCAACTTTAGTGCATTGAAGGAAGCTTGGCTGCCTCTTGTTTCGAATTCTTCCAAGATGATCGGGTGATTGCTCGAGGACGATTTAGAAACTAAAGAAATCGATCTTAGGCCCACTATATTTGGAAATCCTTGTCGATTGGAGGCAGTGGTGGCGTTACAAGGCAGTAGCTGTTCACTAAGAGCAGTTATGTTCTGGATCTAACATCTAGTCGAAAATGTCTTCTAGCTTAACATTGAAGAGTGCCCCAGAACTCCTTATGGTCCCGCATACTAAAGAGATAAAAGCATCCGAAAGTCTTCTTGAATTCGCCTGGCTCCGCGGTGACAATAAGTTTACTCTTAGCGGAGTTTACTCTGGAATATGTCGGTTTCATTCAGAGCTTGATGACCTTACTAGGAGTGAAATAATCACACCTTCTATATACCAGATCGACACCTACGAAATTTAAAATTCGAGAGACGAGGTCCACTGCAAAGTCGGCAACCATTAAATAAACTGGAACACATCCCTATAAAATTAAGTTAATAAGTCATTTATCGATTTCTTCTCTTGTTCAGGATGGGGCAGTGACTACGATGGTTGTGACAAGACTTCATTTTATATTAAAAATAATTTATTTCCAATGAAGATCGTACTATGAATACTTTGATTTTAATAAACAGCGGGTTTTGCTTATCTCATCATGAGAAGATAAACAATCGGCGTTGATCGATTCCTGATGGATTCGGCCATAGTTGAGGTGATTGAATGCATGTTTAGCCTACATAACGTCTTGTACAGGCCAGAATAGCCCCGGAGGATAAAAACATTACCTGAGGCACTGAGATCTGCGCTACCTCATCATCCATAAATATCGATTAGTTACTAATGTGAGCAAGTAATTGCATTAAGTTGTTGTTTAAATCTTTTTGACAAATTTTCTCTGAATCGTACCAGTATCTGGATCCGGATGCTGTTGAATTCTCACTAAAAGTCTCAATGAACTGTGGAATTTACCCACTTGCATCAGGCATTTGCCGCGAAATCGAAGCTTAACTCGTAAGAAAAGGGAACGAATCTACTTTTATACCCTTCCTTCCTCTTCTGTTCTCTCAGTCAACCATTTAAATATCTTCGGAGTTTTTTTTATTTCCCTACTTAACGATGTCGGAAGTTCTGTTATGGAAGAGAAAAACAACTCGAGCTCTGGGAGTTCTAGATGCATCGAAAATTTCGGGCTTATGACGGGTGTGCGTTTTTTCACTCTTCACCATTCCACTTTATTCCATTCTTAGAATCGGAATCAACTCGATCGATATCGCTAAGGTTTTTGTTGGTTTTGAGTTCGCTTTTTTCCGTTGTTTGAGTTTATTTGACATTCATCTTGGTCTTCCATCGGCTTTTCAATTCCAATCAATGTCCGTTTAGTTTCCATTCAGCTGTTGATATCAACTTACACAGTGATCGACGAATTCATATACGAGAGAATTTTTTTCTTGCTATGAGAATCTGTCACGCGTACTCTTAGGGTCACATAAAAGTCTTTCATCGTCTCCGCTCGTGACTGGTGACGATCTATCTGTAGATTTTAGCTTCCCGCTAGAGAAAAAAACTGGTTTCTACGCACAACACAACCCAAATTCTGCTCGTATCTATTGCTCCAACCAGGGAAATCCTTTCGTATATATGATTGCTTCAATTGAATTGTAGCATTGAGTCCTAACAAAATCGCGCCGTGTTTCAGGATGGCAGAGCTAGCGAATGCATAAATAACAAGATGAAACACTCCTGGCCGTCGTTGCCTGTGGTGTTCCTCTATCTTTGCTTTGTGTTTTTTCTCATCTTAGCTGCTGAATACTGGAGGTATGCAGGAAATGACATTGCCAGGTCAGTATGCTTTCTAGAAAATACACAGCTAAGATCTGTTTATTTCGGAAATTACAGTAAGCCAGAGTTTGTGCGAAGTATCGTTGTTAGTGGAACAGTCATAATATTAAGATATTTGCAAAACTCCGGACCGCAGGTGCTTGCGGTGGAGAACGAACGCACTATTACTCTTTCCGGGGGTAGTGCGCTCACTACCACACCATGCGGGTCCTTCGTTTCGCCTGTTTCTCAGCATCATTGTGGTTGTTTCACACGTAATACTCTGCCATAAAAATTATAATAGGCAGTAAATAAAAAAAGTCAACGTAGTTATAATATTTTTTATAAACGTGCTATCAGTCCAATCATCTCGATTATTCGATCATTTGCTAGAGATCTTAATTCAGTTATGAGTTTGTTGTAATTGAAAAAAACCGTGGGAGATTGGAAGATTGTTTTTCTATGTGCCTTGGCGAGGTGACTGGTTTTTGGGGTGGCGGCATCCGTAATCGCGCCGCTCTGTCGCCAATAGGGAACGGATAGATTTCGTTGCAGTTATTCCGATTCGACAAGGTCATCAACTCTCTATGACAAATATTGTGTTCACTACAATGTTATCGCTCCCAAGTTCACTTATTTCGACCGCATCACACAGATCTTGCATGTTAGCGCTGACGTCCTGGACAACAGAATCATTGAGCAGGTGTTCGGAAGATTTTTGAAAATTGAGGAAGTACTTAGCGAGCAGCTGTGAATTCAGGTAGAAAACTGGGACGGACCGGTCTCGATGAGTGTTGTGCTGCGATCCATCGCCCAGTACCATTGCACTGCTCGCTTTGTGAGTTGGCTATAATCTTCACTGCTCAGTGAAACAGTGACAGCTTCATGGAAGATCTCATGTCGAAGGAGAGGTGTATAGGGTAGAACCAGGAATAACTAATTAATATGGCAAGTTGTAAACGAAGTAAATTAAGTGTCTTTTGATAGAAATGGAAGCAGTAAACTTTGGCAATTACTCTTTCTTATCCAGAAAGAATTGATGCAACTGTTATGATGCTTCTGGAATCAATATAGAATAAAATCAAACTTAGAAGCTTTGTGTCCAATTTTTTTTCAAAGTCAGAGTTGCGTTTTTCAGCTGAAGAAGATTCGTCGATTGTCTGCCGATGTCGAGCGGCATCTTCGAGCACATTTGGTTTTCCCGAAGACATTGACGACGAATTGCTCTGCTCCATTCATCCCGCCATCGTTGTCGTCCGTTTCTGAATGTGAAAAGCATCAAGTGCCTAGCGTCGAGCAAATCGCTCTCTATCCTGTCAACATTGCGAGAAATATCGCTCGCATAGTGTGTTAGCAAGTTTTGAAAAACATTCTAGGATATGTGCAAATGAATTTATCCTAATATTCTACGATTACTACAATTAATCGCTATGATCGTTCACCACTGAAACCGGCCGATCACCCTAGTTTTTTCCTGTTTCAGTTTGCTTTTCTTCCATCTAGAATACTGCTATTGTTCGCCTGTTACTTTTGAATTTTGGGGTTTGGTTCACGGGATTGAAGCTCGCTCTGCCCTCGTAACGACGAAGCCACGCTGCATATTCAGAGTTCGAAATCCAGTGCAGACACTATGTTAACTCTTTGCCGGACGTCATCTTACCGTATAGTTAACAAATTGACATGATACGCTTTTACTTACGATAAATTGACACTGGTAAAAAAGAAGCCAGGGAAGGATTAGTTGCAGGAGATCACTGGGTGTGGACCACTTTCAGTCTCATTTGATTTGTTTGCACTTGGAAAAAGAACAAAGTGGATGGCTACAGTGAAATGATCTGAATTGATTACATAGATTTACAGGACTTGGAAAACATAAAATTGAAGTAGTAAGGGTTACTTCTTTCTATAGATCTAATACATGTCCTTTACAGTTTTCTGCCTCGAAATATATAGTCATAGCCGACTACGAGCACTTATTCAGTAAAGGTCAGTTCTCCAATCTTTAAGAAAAAGGTAGGCCACATGAGAAAAATCAACCCGAATGAATGCGAACCCTTTTTAAAAAAGATGTCGCAGATATTTTAAGCATTTTCAAAGCCTTCTATATTCTTGAAGGAAAACTCTGTTTGTTGACTTATTGCGACAATTGCATAGGCCAGCAAGTGAGAGCAGCTGCGGGAAAAACCATTTCACTTCTTGACCATCCATCCGAAAGCTGGGAAATCTCAGCTCTTCACTGAGAAGGCCGAAGAGAGCAAAATGAGGGAAAATGACGGATGAGTATGTGTTAGTCCGTTGAAGTGACGAGAATATGGTATTTTAAATAACAAGTCCTGCATGCGTTTTTTAGGATAAAAATGCTTTAGAGTGCTTTAATGATGCTGAGATATTTGCAAAACTCCGGACCGCAGGTGTATGCGGTGGGGATCGAACGCGCTATTGTCCTTTCCGGGGAGTAGCGCGTTCACCACCACACCACGCGGGTACTTCGTTTCGACTGTCTCTCAGCTACAGCATCACTGAAGTTATATTTCGCAATATACCCTGCCATTAAAAAGAGTAGGCAGTAAATAAAACGGTTAAGATTGTTACGAAATAATTCCTCAACTAAAAGGACTGTCTCTCAGCTAGTTCTATCGATCTAGTTCTATCATCAGCAATCACCCGTCAGTGGGATTGATCTGGGGAGCCCAAATCGGCAACGAACCCAGTTAAGCTGAGGCCGCCGTTATAATCACTATTTTAACTTATGAAGGACCCGCGTGGTGTGGTGGTGAACGCGCTACTCCCCGGAAAGGACAATAACGCGTTCGATCCCCACCGCATACACCTGCGGTCCGGAGTTTTGCAAATTTCTCTGCATCATTGAAGTTACATTTCGCAATGTATACCCTGCCGTTTAAAAAGAGTAGACAGTAAATAATAAGTTAAAATAAAAAACATTGCGTTGAAAAGATTAATTTTCCAACATGATGAATGAAGAAACAGTAGATTTGCTGGCTGCCATTCTTTATTTAGGTTTTGAGAAAACGGTGAGAGCAGTCGCTCACAGCCGACTTACCGAAAAGCCACGAACAATGCTTGTCTACAGAATATTCGAGGTTGACGACCGAGTGAAGGAGTGAGTTTGCTGGTGGAAAAGGAATAGGAAGTGGATGAAGGAGAAAATATGGTTAGAAAGAAGAAAAGGGGTGAACAAAGAAGCAGTTTCGGGGGATGTTAAGAGGACTTTGTTTCTTTCTAAAAAAGAACAAGAAGCCGGAAATCAACTCAAATATAATGGACTCTCTACTTTCGCTTGGTTTGAGATTTCCCACTTTTTTCAATTGAGTTAAAAATCAGAGCTCTTCAGATTTCCGCAGAACAAGGCCGACCTGTACGACCTGTATCGATCAGGTGCCGCAGTGGTTTTCCACTCTCTGTACTATCCAGGTACGCAGTGTTCGCTGAAAGTGGCTGAAGAATTTATAAAACTTCAACCATTTCTATTCGTTGAAATCCACGATACACTCGAAAGTGCGACAGTGCTGACCCCCTGGCCGCGTCACCTCATTGAGGTAGCGCAGCGGCTGCATTTAAGAGAATCCAAGGAACTTCTTCAGGAGCGCACGACATCGATGGACTTAGCGAGTGGTTCAGGAAAAACGAAAGTGTCGATGGACTTTTCATGAAAGATCTCAGGTACACTCTTTCTAGACAATTTTGCATGAAGCACAGATTTAATGATTAAAATCTTGTCTTCGGGGAGCTGCTCGGAATGTAAGAAATTGTTCACTAATACAGTAATTTCACAGCAATTGAATTTTTGGGGAACTTTCATCTTGATGGGTTTCAATTTGACCAAGATGGTGAGGTCTGCCAAAAAGTCAACTGTTTTGCAAACAGAATTGCATTAATGACGTCGTGTCGCGGCTTCTAGAGAACTCGAGAGCCGAATTTTTTAATTTGCAGTTTTCCCAGGGATAATAAGTGGACGTAATAGTCACAACTATTCAACAAATATCCTACGACATTTTCTAGCGCATAAAGCAGATGCACTCCGTGTAGTGCATAGATAAGGTGGGGGGGGGGGGGGGGGAAATGAACGAAATGCGTTGCGCTCCATGCATCTTTTCCTTAGTATTTAATTTTACTACTCAGATACCACGCAGTTATTAGGCGTGGCTCACGGAAATCCGTTTTCTGAATTCAATGATTTATAAAGAATCTTTTTGGATGAGTTTATTTCGTCGCGAGAAACTGTGGCTGTTGAAGGAAGTGTGCACGACAGAGATTGTTGGGGGTGGAGGCGTAGAAATGTTTCTACTTGAACAGCGAAATTCGACAGTTAAGGAGAGCCTTTCATTATGATCATATCTGTCATTGAGGAGACTGCTTCACAGTGGTTTGATGCTTAGCGAGTATGTTTTCACCAGCAGTTTGTGCTGTGACGCGACTCATGTTGACAAACGGTTATCAAACCCTGTAAGAGTCCTTCAGATTGTTCAGCTTACACGGCCTTTTTATAGAAGTTTTATTCGGCTAACGTTTCAACGTCATCGTCTCCTTCAGTGCCTATTGATCCGAACGAAATGTCCACAGCTACTGGTTTTCGCATTGTGGGTCTTCATAGTCGCATCGACTCGAACCTTCTGGACACCGCTGAAATGAGAACCTCATTCGGCAGTGCCCCTTTTATTCAGGATGATTTTTGTTGATTGTCCAGCGATATTTACGAGCAGTCGTGACGACAGTCAAGTCGGCAATATAACAACTAGCATGTGGTGAATGTTAATTTTTATTGTCTTAAATCAAAATCATTCGTCTTAATTAATATGTATTCTTTTGTTGATAAGCTAATACATAGCACGAGGCAGGTGAAAAATGTGCTTTACCCAGCTGACCTTTGGGCACCTTCTCCTTCTTCAGAACCGGATTGATCCGAGTCGAATGACCACACTTGTTCCTAACTCCGATTAAGGTCTTCGTGATCGCGTCGAGTTGAATCCAGTGGAGCATCGACTGAACTAAGTCACCTCGCTCGGCAGTGCTCTTTTGTGCAGGATGGTTGCCGTTGATAATAATTTTCGATTAATACAGAATACATATCGATTAATCATGCCATCGTTAAAGGAAAGTCGGTTTTAAAACATTGTTACGTTGTGTGCCAGCTGATAATGGTACAAACCACATTCATTTTGACTTTTCATTTGCGCATACTAGTTTTTCATGGTAGGGTGCCACCCGCACCGTCCCGTTGATCGTCGAGTGAATCGACTGGGCGCCAGTAAATCTTCCATTTCCCCTTGTCGCGTGCAAGAGTACCCTATTAGGTTCTTCTCGCTCTAGAGATTCGTTGAACATCGTATCTTTCTGCTAACGTTTTCATCGAGAACACTGGTTATATCTTTCTTCAACGCTCTTTGTGAAAAACGCTAACCATCGTGTCGGTGGTCCTCTTGCAGTACGTTTGAAACCGCGAAGAATCCAGTCATTAGCGGCTCTTATACATCAGTTGTCGTTTATACGCATAACGTGTCCGGTCCTTATCCTCGATAGTTTGGCTTACAGAACTGCATATTTGATTTTTGATTGTTGGTGTAGGTCGGGTTCACCAAGCCCTCCATCCGGGTTGGAAAATTGGTAGCAGACTTGTCTAGGGGATCGCAACACCGGCTCGATCCAAGTGTCTCTAGCGTCTTCTTTTCGACTACGTGTTCCATAATGCTGAGTTATTTCTCATTCCGCCTATTTAGCGACCAGGTTTCTGATGCATACGTTAAATAAGGAAAAGCAGTGGAGTCGAAAGCATGGGCACGTAGTCGGGTGTTCCATGTTCTCTTCACTACATCCTCGATGCTCTTGAAGGTTCCTCAATCACTCCGTTCCTACTGTCTAAAGCTAAGTCGTTCATCATGCTGATTTCCCGACCTAGATAGACGTGTCTGGAATCCGTTCCTCATGAAAATTGCTCTCTTGCTTCGACTTCTCACAGCAGTACCAAGAAATGGGCAAAACATCGTGCTACATGGAAGTTTATTATGTGAAATATAACCACAGTGAACCTCAGAAACTGGCAAACTTGGGACCATGGGCCAGCTGCGAACCCGCGATTACCCTTACTGATGTCTACGTCTTACTCACTGCATTGCCGAGGCCTTTGCTTTGTCTTTCTTTCAACCTGTCTTTTAACCTAGCGATGTGATCAGCAATCGACAGTACGCAAGAATGGAAAACGAAAATCGACAAAGAACCGAGTTAAGCTGAAGCTGCAGTCGAAATCACAATATTTAACTTCTTATTAGGATCCTTAATGCCTCAACCTAACTGGGTTCAATGCTGATTTGCGCTCTCCAGGTCATTCCCATTAACAGG